TATAGAAAAGCGACGAAGTGGATACTAAAACTTGGTCCTATAAATAGGAGCAGCTTGTTGTCGACAAAGTCTAAGCATCTAGACGTGAAATACTGAGAAGCGGGCATCAAAAGAATATGGACAGTTTTCTTTGGGGTTAAGTTTCTTTTTGGCAGACTCCCCAAAGTATTCGGCATTCAAACCAGAAGGTTTATTCTGAAAACAAGTCTGTAGAAGTAGCCAATGTGCACTCCTAAGTGGTAGAAATGAAGAAGCTGGACTATACAACTGTAACTCTTACAAGAAGAACCTCACATACTCTCGTTGGCCCACCACTTTTTTTCGAAGAAATTTTTGTAAAAAGTGGGCGTTTTAGCTTACCCCCTCCAAATGATCAATATCACGTGTACCAAACAAGTCGGCATTGTTTATCTTTCAAATCGGAACGTAATAACAACACGTGTATACACGTGCCTCGAATGCAATGGATATCCGTACAAATGATGCTCTGAGACTCTGTTCCGACCTTTCTACCTTAAGCCAGTCGATGAAGTTTTTCCTATCAGGTTTTTACTTTCGTATATTAGTTTAGAAAAAAATAGATGTAGAGACTAATTTGTCTAGTCAGTATGAAATTTTTCAAGCTATTCACAGGTTTATAACCATGGCATTAAGTTTAGCAAATTTTCTGTTTTGTTTTTGTTTTTTTTCGATATCTCTTTACCCCTTTTCTTTCATTTTTTGTATTCTTTTATCGTAGTCCCCTATACCTCTGTGTTTTTTTTTTTTTAGTTTGTTTGTTTTTTCTGATTTTGCTTTTTGATGAGCGGGTAGCCGCCAGCCAATGAACAACGGGAAAAAAGTCCTTAGTGAGTTAAGGACCCTGAGTGAGGCCAAGAGCTACTGAGGCAGGTTGCACCTGATATATAAAATCATGTAGGTGAGTTCTTCTTTTGGTTGGATCTACTATAGTTAGAGATAAATTACATGTAATTTTTACATGAAACTTTGAATAACTTGATCCCAAATAAACAAGGGCAGGACAGCCGAATTGGAAAAAAAAAATAATAATATAAACTAATAATAGAAAAGAAGAAATAAAAGAAGAAAAGAAAGTTAAAAAATATAAAAATAGATAGTAAGAAAAAAAAAAAAGCTATTAAAAAGAAATATATATATATTAATAATTACTCATATAAGGAGGAAGTGTGGATATGAAAGTTATATAAAGACAATGAAAAATTAAAGAAGTTGGGCAAGTTAGAAGAAAAAAAGAAAGAAAAAGAAGAAAATTGAAACAATGAAGGAATTAGAAGAAAAAATAAAAAAAATAAAAAATAATAATAAAAAAATAATAATAAAATAAAAAAAAAGAAGAAAAAAGAAAAAAAAAACAAAAAGAATTAAGAAAAGATAGGGAAAAAGTAGTAGCAGAAGTATTAAATAGAAGATTTTGTAAATTGCAAACAGAAAAAGACAAATTACAAGAAGCAAATAATATTATGTTGGCAGAGAGAAATATTTTGATGGAAAGAATAGATAGTAGAATTAGTAGACAAATGTTAAGAGAAATATATATAGAAAAGAATACAACTGAAGAAGAAATGGAAGAAATAAGAGAAGAGGAAGAAGAAGAAATAATAGAAGAAGAAGAAGAAATGAAGAAAGAAGAGGTGAATTGGTAGGAGTTTAGAGTTCAGAAAGAAGTAGATTAGATAAGGATTTTTAAATAAAGAATAAATTAAGTTATTAAAGTTATTAAAGTTTTTTTTTTATAATTCTTAACCTTTATTTCAATCTAAGTTCTGTGACTTTTCTTGTCCAAGTTCTTTTTGTGCTTCGAATCAGAGCCTCTGGGGCTTATAGAGGTCAAGTAAGGTTTGTTTCAGCATTTTTGCACTTTGAGATTACTCACATAATCGTTAGATATATATACATAGTTAGATCATTCACTAATTTGACTTGCCCTCTTTCTTATCTGTTTTCATTCACCTGTTCTAGTTTGGACCTTTAGAACTTTTGTTTGTTTACTGCTTATTTTCAACTTTTCAGCCTATTTTCACTTGTATTTCTGCCTTTTCAAATCGTCTTTAGACTTCTTTCGACCAGGTTTACATTAGGTTCTTCTAACTTTCTCTAACTTTTTTAATTCTCACAGTTCTTCATTAAGTGTGCTTTACAAATTTTCCACACATTTATGTAAGTATTTGTATCATGCTTTCCATTTTATTGTACTTTATATAGTCATAGTTAGAGATGTGCAAATGCATATTTTTTTGGCTCTGCATTGCATAATGCAGTATAATGCTAGCATACAATATTATACAATCATGATGTTCTACCAAAATCAAGAAGTTATTAGTTAGCCTGCTTTATACAGATAGAAAATCACTAACTGATGCTACATATCATTTAGTATTACATATGATATAAAATATAATATTTTATTAATTTTTGTTGCATTAAAATTATATAGTAATTAGGGTTTCGCATTTGATTTGATTTGATTTGATTTGATTCAAATATTTGATTTCAAATCAAATTCAAATATAGATTTTCAAATCAAATCAAATTCAAATTGAAAGATCAAATATTTGATTTGATTTGAAAATATTTATAAATAGCTAAAATTTGAAGAGTTATAGTTTCAGACTCCATTTTCTCAAAATTTTATTAAGACAATTGCTAATTTGGTTTTATGAAACTAGGGCTATTTTGATTAGAAAAACATTTTTTATTTAATATACAAAATCGATTAGCTTAATAAAATTTTAAGAAATTCGAAGATATTTATAAATGGCTAAAATTTAAAGAGTTATAGTTCTATAGACTATTTTCTCAAAATTTTATTAAGACAATCATTAATTTGGTTTTATGAAACTAGGGCTATTTTGATTAGGAGAACATTTTTCATTTAATACACAAAATCGATTAGCTTAATAATAAATTTTGTGTAAATCGAAGATATTTATAAATGGCTAAAATTTAAAGAACTATAGTTCTAGATGCTATTTTCTCAAAATTTTATTAAGACAATCGCTAATTTGGTTTTATGAAACTAGGGCTATTTTGATTAGAAGAACATTTTTTTTAATATGCAAAATCGATTAGCTTAATAAAATTTTAAGAAATTTGAAGATATTTATAAACAGCTAAAATTTAAAGAGTTATAGTTTTAAAGGCTATTTCCTTAAAAATTTATTAAGACACTCGCTAATTTGGTTTTATGAAACTAGGGATATTTTGATTAGAAGAACATTATTTATTTAATATACAAAATCGATTAGCTTAATAAAATTTTAAGAAAATCGAAGATTTTATAAATAGCTAAAATTTTAATATGATTTGAAATTTTAAAATCAAATAATCAAATCAAATTCAAATCCAGTTTTTTTAAATCAAATCAAATTCAAATCCAGATTTTCAAATCAAATCAAATTCAAATAAGTCTAATATTTGATTTGATTTGATTTTGAGGAACCCTAATAGTAATTTCTATATGCACTTTAAAATTTTAAAATATCTATATTACATTATGCGACATTATGTTTTGCATAATATAATACACATAATGCAGAATGCCTATCTCTATCTGAGACTAATCTGGATTAAGTACCGACCTTCCTATCTAATTCAGTCAAAGAAGTGTTTATCCAACAGTATTTTAAATTTAAATATATTAAATAAATAAATTTAAAGTAGAGATACAATTTATTTAGTATAGTATATAATTTTTAAGGCCTTTCACAAGCCTATAAATGTAACATTAGGATAGTCATTCTTTTTGTTTTTGTTTTGATATTTCTCTTCACTCTTATTTTCTTGCTTGTATCTTTATTATTATCCCCTATATCTCTATGTTTTTTTGTTTATCTGTTTTTCTTTTGTCAGACTTTTTAATAAAGCATGCAGCTGCTCTAGCTAGTGGTTGTTGGGATCAAATCTTTAGGAAGTTAAGAATCTAATATAAAGCATAGTGCTGCTAGGCAGGTCATACTTGGGCCTTAGTGCTAAGTAAGTCTCTTCGTGTAGTAGAATTATAATATAAAAAATTGTATTCCTTGTTAATATTAATCTTATAATACCTAATACTTCTAATAAAGCATAAAGCAGGACTGCCAAATATAAAAAAAAAATTTGTAAAAGATGTATTGTAAGATGAATGATCAAGTGGATAGGTTTATTTAGAAAAATTCAAGACGAAGAGGCTTTTTTATTAAATTGTTAAGATTTAAAGCAGTGATGCTTTTTTACAAGTCTTTTATAAACTATTTTTATATTTCTAAAGAAGCTAATTTACTAACTATCTATTCTCTAGACTAGTTTTTCTAAAACTATAATTTCTCCTTATTACAAGTCTGTTTTATATTTAATTACTATCTTACCAATACTATGTATAACAATCTATATATAACACTAATAAAATAATTGAAAAATAAATAAATAAATAAATATGCAAATTGTTGAGCAAAAAGTCTATTGGTGTTATGTGACTGTCATATATATTGTAGTCACATGATTATCATAGTTTATAATATTAGACTAGCAGCAATAATTCTGTTATAGTATATTATAAATTTGTTTAACAAGAGATAATGCTTTAATTTTAAGGAATAAGGTTTGATATTTGTTATTTATATATATTAGAATAGGTTATAATAGATTTTTTAAAGAAGTGAAGAGTATATTTCTTCTTGTTTAATACCAAAGTGGAGTGTAATTAGATTTATTAGACCATATATTGTTATAATTCTTGTTTTTCAATTTTAGTATAAATTTGTAATAAAGTTTATATCTTATTGAGACATGTTTATTCTTTTTATACTTATGCAAATCGTTAAATATTGATTTTATTAAAAGCTTTAAAAATGTTATAGAAAAGTATTCAAGCCTCTTTTTAGTTATATTTATAATGTTCGATTGTATTGTATAAGATCTGAATTGGTATATATATAGAAATATTAGGTGTTGCAGGAAAGATAAGATTATTTAGAAGATTGTTTTAGTTGATTATTTGATCAAGTTCTTGTATGAAAATTTTAGTTAAGTATTTTTTAGGGTTCTATAAGTAAGATTAAACAAACTTAATCTAAAGTATAGTTTTAAGTTAATTTTTTTGGAATAAAAAATATATTTGATATTTTCTAATCTGTAGATATTAGTTGTAGTTAAAGATATTTAAATAAAAGAGAACTGGGTACTTTTTGACTTTGCTATAAAGCTAATTTGATATATTTATAGTTGATACTATATATGCCACCAAAATAAATTTTCAAAAAACATCTATTTCATCTTTATTAAAGCAATTTAGAATTTTTTATATGTAAGAGCAAATCTAACTTAGGTAGTTATATTCTTTATAATTTTATCTCTTTAAAAAAAGTGTCATAAAATTTCATCTTTTAAGTAAAATAGGTTAAAAACAATTTCGTCTTCAAATTTTAATTTTGTATCTTGAAACCTAAAATAATTTCATCAGCATGTATAGTTGGTACCAAAAGGATCTAAAGCTTTTTGACTAGTCTCTACTTTAAATTTAGATATTCTATAAAATAGATAAATAATATAAAAAATAAACTTCACAAATGATTAATAATTATTAATTTAAAAATAGCTATATTGTGAAGTTTATAGAGTTTGCCCACCTATTTTATAGAATATTTTTAAATTTAACTAAATAGTATATAAAAATAAAAAAACTAGTAGAAAAAACTTATTAATCAGAATAATATAGAGAGGTTGGTAATTGATAATAATTTTAGAATATTGTTTAATTAAATTATTATATTCAAAGTATATACTTTAATATATTGTTTTGTTAGAGAAAGAAAAAAGTAAAGGTTTGTAATTTGATCAGGTTTTATATTTTGTAATTAAATTTAATTGATTAATATTTGAATCAGATGAAAGTAAAGAGTATAACCTTTTAGTAACTTGAAATTATCTAATTTCTATTCTTCTCTTTATATTAATTTAGGAAGTAAACAATATTGACTATTTAGTATATAATATATTAGCAAATTTTAAAACTATAATATTATATAAAATTTACAATTAATGTAGAATATTGTGCAAGATTTTAAAAAAGCATGAATAAATATAAATTTTATTAAAAAATTTTACAAACTTTCAATAAGTAGTCTTGTTCAGCATCTTATTCTAGTTATAATAGTAGTTAAATCATTAAAATTAGTTTAATATTTACTGAGATAGCTTAATCATAATATTTATATAATATTTCAGATATTTTGCAATATTGTACAAATATTACGATTAAACTATTTCAATGAATATTGTGCTGATTTTAATGATTTAACTACCATTATGATCAGAATAAGGTACTAAACAAGGCTACTTATCAAAATATTGCAAATTTTCTTAATAAAATTTACACCTATTTGCACTTTTTTAAAATCTTATACAATATTCTGCATTAATCATAAATCTTATATAATATTATAGTTTTTTTTTTTAAAATTTAGTCTCTTTGGTATAAAAGTTTTTATTT